GGGGGGGGGGGGGGGGGGTGTTAGAATGCAGCAGTTGGCTGGATTTATTGTAATGTCTGTTACAGGTGTTTTAAGTAACCATTCTCCTTGCTGGAGTGTGGTTATAGCATACAGGTCCTTCAGTTATTATGAGGAAATAATGTTCAAAAGGAACACAGTATTATGATTTGTAAAATCTCTTTTCATCCCAACCCTCTTGGTGCAAATATTCAGTGCTGCTGATCTTCACAGGTCAACCAGCCATAATAGCTGTGTCTGTTGCTATGTAAGTGATTGCCGTTTTATTCAGATTTCTTCAGCTCGGGCATTTATTTTTTTGTCATCTTTCTTTTTTTCAGGTTATTTGGAACAAAATGAACGCATGAGCACTAGTTCTTATTTGTTTGCGTGGTGATTTTGCCAATATTCTTATTGGTTCTAGCTGAAACTCCTCTGTTTTCACAGATTTTTTTCATCCTCTCCGTGCCCTGTGCTCAGTTAAGGGAAACTCTCAAGACTTGAATGCAGTGACTACAAATTGGTGCTCTCACTGATGATATTTCCCTCCCAACATTGAAATCTATTTGCGTAACTGTTATTGGCTGCTGATCTAGGCAAATCAATCCTATGGATCCGTCTCTGTTTTGCAAGGGTTTTATTGCAGTGGCTCTTTGAGGTCATTGCCTGGCTGTTGTGGATGTGCAGTTTAACGTTCAGTAAAATTTCACATGGAGACTTCTCTAATTGGAAGAAGAAATGAATTTGGCTGCTGTGACCATTAACATAAAGGCGGCATTGGTCAGACTTGCAGGTGCATCTCAATAAATTAGAATGTCGTGGAAAAGTTCATTGTGAATTGGTGGGTTTTTGTTAAATGTGAGCCAAAATCATCACAATTAAAAGAACCAAAGACTTAAACTACTTCAGTCTGTGTGCATTGAATTTATTTAATACACGAGTTTCACAATTTGAGTTGAATTACTGAAATAAATGAACTTTTCCCACGACATTCTAATTTATTGAGATGCACCTGTATGTAAAATCTATTCTTAATCTTTACCCAATCACAGTCTAAAGCAGTGTGTTTTTAGTCTGTGTTAATATGCATCTTTACAAACGTGATATGAGTTTATATTGTATCATGCCATGTTGAACGGAGGTCCTTTGGAAAATATAAAAAATATTTAAAAGTGGAAATCTGGCTTACGCATCAGAATGGGAATGACGTGTTTCTGCCAATGGTTCAGAGGAGTGTAATATTCTGTTTCATTGCTGAAGATCATGGTCAAACCATTTGGTTCTCAGATGTGCCATTTCTAAAGGAGCAGATGAAATCTGTAGCAACTTTCCTAATTCTTATAGTTTTATAATAAAAGCTTTTATTTTGAAATCTGAATTGTTATAGTTGCATTATTTGGTCAAATGCTGGTTTCTGCTGGGGGGTTGCTGTTGTTTTTTACAACAAAAGTGCCTGTTTTAGATCAAGATCTATAAGAATTATTCTGAAGAGAATTAACAAGGTTTTGATTATGTGCACAAGACTTTCCAATCATATAAGAGAAGGTAAGTTCTTTTCTATTTCTATATAAATTGGCTTTGTAGCTGACGACAGGAAATGCTTTCAGCTGTGAAAGGAATTGATTCTGATGTAAATTGTCCATATGTTGAGGCAAAAAAAACAAAAAACTTTTTGGTTAAAGGGGGCACATTAATAAATCAATGAATTACAGTTTTATTTTGGGGGACTTTTGCATTTTATTTATAGGAGTGTAAAAAGGAATACAGGTCTGAGATTGGTACATGACCCAGGTTGGACTCCAGTCCAACAGCTCTTATTGTCTTGTGTTGTATTTTTATTTTTAATTCAGTCCCCAGAATCTTCAATGCTTCTGGAGTTCACCATTTGCTGACCTGCTAGTTTCATGTAAAACAAGTAAAATTTTGATTTGTGGCTATATACATCAATGTAATCACCCCAAACTCCTTTGGTTAATTTATTATTGTTTATCAATAATTGTATTGTATGACTGCGTGAGATTCATTGTCTCGTCAATATTTGAGGAGTTTTCGAAATGCGTACTTTTTGCTAAATTAACAGAAAGTGCAATTGCGCGTTTTATGCACTAGGGCGTGGTATTGTCTCGTGTCAGTTCAGCACAAGTATATGGTTCCCACAAACCTCGTTCAGAACAATATTCCCAATATTGACAGCGCTGTCGCTTCCATCCTACTGTATTTTAATTATTTTCACAGGTAATTTTAAAAATTTGCTTGTATGTGCATGTTGAGATTTGGTTGACACTTATTGTATACTGCCACTCCTGGAATTAACACAAATTATATAAATATTATTTATATGTATTCAACTGTGTGTATGTATGTATGTATGTATGTATGTATACACACAGTGGGTTTAGAAAATAATCACCCCCCTTTAAAATAATCACATTTTGTTGCTTTGCAGCCTGAAAATTTGCACTTGCATTTCACTGCTGGTCATATATTCCCTATATAACCATATATGTGACAAATAAAAATCTTGAATCTTGAATCTTGAAATGAAGATGGACACAGTTTTTGTTTTATCCAGCTGTATTTACTCAGTGCAACTTATAACATCCAAGTGAAAGATATAACACCAATGTCATGTCATAAAAAAAAAACAAAAATAAAAAAACAGAATCACTGTGTGTGTATATATATATATATATATAGATAGATAGATAGATGTAGACAGATAGATAGATATATCAAGCGTAGCGTTAGTTCTGGCAGGTCACGTTAGTCAAGCTTGCATCAGCTGACCTTCAGCTGATCCCCATCTACCTATGGGAATACGACACCTATCTAAGCATTCATATATAAGGTCCCTCAGTATTATCAGCAGTTTTCGCATTGCTCAATAGCTAATTACCCTCCTCCATCCCCAACTCCTCCTCTGTCAGTCAGGATTCAGCCTTCTGATTCTCCTAGAATCAGACTAATTCTAAAATGTGTACAGAAAACGATTGGACTTTAACAATATCTGCAATACATTTGTTAGTTCTGTTCTGTTTACCCTGGGGGGTTATTGCTGCTCTCCCTGCTCTCATCCATGCTAGGCTGCATGGATGTGCAGGGAGTTCTTGCCCAGAACAGAACCATACCGCCAATCCAAACTGTATGCTAATTGTCAATCATCTTTGACGATAGTGGTCCTGACAGAAATATATGTATCAAATTATATATTATAGTTTTCAGGTTTTTTATTTGGTTTCAGGTTAAATATTATGTTTTTATTATGTTTCATTGATTTATATTAAATAGGTGTCAGAAAGCATTTAAACAGCCTTTTCTTTTACAGTTTAATTTGGTAATTTATTTTGGTGCTCTTTAAGCTGTGTTCTAATTTAGTCCAAATATTTTGTCATAGTTGTTTTTCTTTATGTATTTCTTCCTAAAGAATGTTTATATTGAAAGCAAACAGGCAACTTGTGGATGGTTTCATAGAGTACAAATCTTGTGTACAGTCAGACAATATTGTAATTAAATTTAGTCATAGAAAAAGCAGAGGTGAGATTCAATTTTCTGATGTCCATTTTGCCTTTCATTAGCCTTGCATGTTTCGCTTTGTATTTCATGCTTGCACTCTGGAAAAATGCTTACGCTGGGGTTGAATGTTATTAATCAATCTATCAAGGCAATCATAGCCTGTCACTTGGTGTAATGATCAAGTATTCCACGATATAAGGTGCAGTGCTTTCATCAGAATATGTGTAATCTTTACAGTTCCAGACTGTGATTTATATGCACACTTAGCCTTCTGATGGAATGGCTTACGTGTATTAAGATCCGGTGGAAATCTATCTGTCACACTTATTCTTTGTTCTCTGGAGACTGGGTGATTAGGAAACCTGCACACCTACTCAAAATCTCACAGAATTGCCGGTGTGGAAAGAAACTTATTTTCCTCCTCAACCTTAAACCAGACTTATTGATGGTTAATATGTCATAAATGTTAAGTGGAATTGAAAAAGGAACTTCAACTTAAAGTTTGACCTCAGAGTTTGATCTTTTATTATTATTATTTCCCCCAATTGACACAGTCTTTTTAAATGTCGACAAGTTGACAAATCCCTTAGGAATCTTTATGTCCTCTGTCATCAACAGCACAGGTCATATTGACAGGTATCCATGCCGCATGGTAACCTCACAGTTGAAAGACTGCAGTCTGTTCTGTGGCCTAGGTGCAGCTCTGTATTAAACAGAATATTTCTGCCAACAAAGGGAAAGCAAGTCAGAGACAAAAAGGAATGGAGGTGAAGGACAGGGGAATCTGAAGATGAAACGACTGGATCAAATACAAAGTGCACCCTTTCATTTGAACCCTATTGATGTATGCCAATATGGGTCTAGTCTGTTCTAGTGCCAGGAATATCATTTTATTGCTTCTCTTAATAGGATGGGAATATTTTGTAAACTGTAGAGATGTAAAGGCAGTGCTGCATACAGTTCTTGACTGAACTGACAAAATATTTTCCCCTGATCTCTGTCAATACTGTTCTGTGACTTTAGGTCCATTTCATTTCTTCATTTGCATAGTTTTGGCCACATCAATGACATTAATGAATCTCTTTTAGGTTATTGCTATAAGGTGATCCATGGCTCAATTTAATTTCCTGAAGAAAATTTAATTCTGGCTAAAGCAATTAGAGCCAAAGTCACTGTGATATGTTCCCATATCACTAATTCATCACTGGGGCCTATCATGTCTGTCTGTCTGTCTGTCTGTCTGTCTGTCTGTCTGTCTGTTGTCTATGCTATTTTGGTTACAGGAACCTATTCTGTGAGAATTCTGTGACACTTTTCTTTCCCTTTATTTATAGCTGTAATTTCTCAGTCTTGTACATACACCGAAAGTCATTTCTGAATGTCCAGATTGAGCTTCTGCATTTTGCTAAACCTAATTGTGTTGCTGACTTCTCAACTGCCTCAAACATTTTTGATCATTTTAAGAGTTTGTGTAGCAGAGGTCATCCAAATATAGAGAATTTAGATGAGCTTGTCATATGAATGATGGCCAATTCTTTCATCTAGCTAAAGTTTTATTTCAAGCCTGCCATTTATGTTCAATATCTGGTGTCCTACATTTCCTTTTTGCATTTTTTTCTTAATCATTTTCAAAAAACGAACAGACTTAAGCATCACTTAGAAGCAACACGTTATGAAAGATTAATATGTCTTACCATGGACACTGTTGTGCACATTAAACACATTAAAATATTAAAACATATAGGCGATTAATCTTGACAGTGTGTGTGCAGCCTTATTAAAGATTAAACAGCGTGTTTAAACTTGTCTGGGGGAGAAAAGATGACAAAAGCTCAGGACAAGTCTAGTCTAAAGAAACAGAGATGATTAAAGAGGCAGGATGCAATCAAGAATGAACAATAATTAAAATCATTACGCAACTACTTTACTGTAGATTTACAACATCCAGAAACATCCATACAGACATCAGCAAGTTAATTTGGCATAAATATTCTGAATAGGGCTGTCAGTCAATTCAAATTTTTAATCTAATTAATTACATGATGTGGCGATTCATTAATTTAATTAATCGCAAATTAAATTTGGCTGTGAAATTACCTCCAAAATATAATTTAAAGCCATTATTGTTTTAAATGAGAAAAATATCAAGTATATTACAAAAAGTAGCTTTAGAAAGAAATATTTTGTTTGATTCAACAAAATCTATTAAACCATAAACATTTAGGCTACAATGGCCTATAACATAAACTTTGGAACATAAAAGAAGATCATTTGAAAAACATCTCAGTAGCTATTTTTGTTCATACAATGAAAGTCAACAACATTCTTTTTCTTCTGGTTACCAACATTCTTTATTATTTTCTTTTATGTTCCAGTGTGAGTAAATGATGACAGATTATTTTATTATTATTATTTTTGTGTGTGTGTGTGTGTGTGAACTATCACTTTATTTTGTATTTAATTTATTTTAATGGAATGATACTCTAAATGAGAAACTAAAACTGCCAGTAGGTGGCGGTAAATGTCTTTATGAGTCAGCCATTGAATCATTCATTCATTCATTCATTCAATTCGTTCAAACTGCTGATTCATTCAGGAATGAAGTAAATGGCTCTCCTTATGAATTGGCCATTGAATCAGTGGTTCACACAATTCATTCAAAACGCAGATTCATTCATTAACAAATCACTGCTGTGTGGTGCTCGGAGATGCACAACAGTTCTGCTATGGATTTATAGGTAATTTCGTTGGCAAAACTGAGCAGACAGTATTGTAGCCTAACTAATATATAATACAACATTAACTTCTTATTTACTGTACTATTAGGCCTATATGTTAAAATTATGAGACACAAACTAATACAGGGGCATTTTTTGCCCCAATATCTTAAATTTTAAGGCATATAATTGCATTTTATAGACTACATCATGCGGTGAGTTGTTGCCACTGATCGATCTATCTATCTATCTATCTATCTATCTATCTCTCTCTCTCTATATATATATATATTTATGTATCCCTGTTTTCATATTCAAACACAATGCAGCTCTTCCATCTCTGTCAATTATATAAATTTGCTCAGATTAAATAATTGTCATTATTGCCAGTAGCTGAGTGTTAACTGATTAGTGTTCAGCCAAGTGTGATGAAATTCATGCTCATTTACAAAACATTTTGGTTGCTTCAATATTCATGGTGGTTTACTGAGATGCATGTAGTTTCCACCTCTCTGTGCTGCAAACACTGCAGCCTGGATAATATGATCAAATCACAGTTATATTTAGATGACTGGTGCACAGTGACACACATCTGTTTGAGTATAAGGGTCAGCTCTGCTGACAGAGAGAATAAAAATGGTTTTCCTCAAACACTTTTTGAAAGCTTCATTCATCCAGGTGTTGTTGGCAAGTAATGAAAAATGAGCTGCATGTAGATATTTTCACAGACAATGTTAAAGTACTCTAATTACCAACCATTTCTACCAGTTTTCAGATCCTATAAGTGACAGTAGACAAACCACTTGTAATTTTATTTTATTTTATTTTTTCAAATAAGTCATAATTTTAAAAAGGGGGTCAATCATTTACATTTATTTGGTTTTGTATACTTTTGTACTAGTATTAATCTCTGGAAGTGCGTTTTTAAAAAGTGTAAGCAAAAAAAAAAAAAAGTGTACCTATACTATAAACTACACTGTGTGACTAGCCTTTAATTAAAAATCTGCTTTTGTTTTTAAAATTTAAATGTAAAATTAAATTTGTTTTAATAACTTTAATTTAGTTTATTGAAACAACTGTTTTTGCTAAACGTGTACTTTGAATCAATATCTACACTTCATTTCCCCCTCCGTAGCATTCTTTTAAATGTATTAAAACATTTAACAGACCATTTGTAAAACTCCCCTTATAATTATAAACCTTAGATAGCTAATCGAGCAATTCAAGAAGCAATTTAAAATGGGAAAAGGAATGACCTTGCTGAGTTGATCATCTTTAGTATTTTGATCGAGAACATATGGTACTTTTAGCTCAAGCACGAGAGGAGTGATGCATGTGTCAAACTTCACTACCTCTTGTATTATTTCTTTTGTCAGAGTGAATAACATGCTTTTGGACCTAAAATCTGAACTGTAAACTGAAAACACAATAATAGTACTCATTTAAAAGTTATAATTTCAGGTACTGGAAGACCTGAATTATGTATTTTTGGACTATGGGTTCCTTGATATGGATGCTTTCCCAACTAATTTATTTGGATCATTGAGCAGTGAACACATAGTTGTAGTCTTAACAATTACTCCAAAATAACTAGACACACTTGCCAGTAAAAGACATATTGAGGTTAAACCACCAACAGAGAAAGAGGATCTGAGAGTGCCTGACTTACTTTCTTACTTCTGCAAAACACAAAAAGCAGATAAAACTGTTTGGTAACCAAACAGTTTTGATGAGTATTGACTGGACAAAAAAAAATTAAAATATCAGAAGTCAAACATAATTTTGTTTTTGGGGCTGGACTACCAATTTGGTTGTCCAGTTGCAGATGTGGAGAACATTTGGGGAACTGTTTGAAAACAATCATTCAAAAAAGAAGGACGATGAACAATTTTCCTTAATATTGCTAAAATGTCCACCAGAGTGTATGTAAATGCATGAAAGCTTATTTAAAGACCAAAGATCAATGCTGAATACACTGTCTGTCTTCTGCTGTGTTGTCTGTCTTGGCGACTGACATAATAATTAGTGTCCATTAAGTGAGAACACAGCCACTTAAATCTCCCAGCACTGACAATCAATAAACCCAATTAATCACATAGACCGAAAGTGACATCCCTGGCGACACAAGATTTGTTCTTCAGTTGGACTATTAAGGATTTGTGTGTCTTAAGACTCCATTATTACCACCCGCACTCTCTGGATCAGGAGGATTATTAGTATAGTCACCTTCTATTTGACCAGCTATTATCCTACAATAGCCCATTTCAGCTAGGTAACATCTTTAGAGGGATGTCAAGTTTATCAGTAATGATGTGGGACTGATAAAAAAAAAAAAAATCCTTAATATTTATTATAAAAAAATGTATTATTATTTGATCCCTAATTATTTATTCTTATTTTTAAGATTGAGTTCTTTTGTGCGTGAAGGTCATTCTGATATTATTATGGCCAACAGAGCTTCTCTTCTATCACACCCCATTAATGATTTTGAATTTTAGTCATTGATTCATGAAACGTGAAATTATAGCTGAATGAACATTTGTTAAGTCGGTGCAGGACAGAGGGTGGAACTAACACAACTGATTACTTTGCCATCTTATTTTTAATTCAGTGCTGTTTCTTTAAACTGAAAATGAAGGAAATTTAGATAGCAAAAATTTCTTTTAACACTCGTTTAAATTGCTTTTTATGTTTTCACCTAAATGTGTTTGTTTAACTCAAGCATGTAAACTTGGTTTCATATTGCACAGAATATCATGTCTTGAAATAATAGATTACATTTTACTGCCACTTTATCTCCAGCCAATTGCATGGAGTTTGACACACAGTTTGACATCATGTACACACACACACACACACACACACACACGATACATAATGAAAGAAAGCAGAGCTATTGTGTAACAGCCATAAAGTCATTTGCAATAGTGTTCTGTGAGACGCGGCTGTCCATAGCACAAAGTCGTGGTTATACAGTACACCGACACTCTTTGGATTTGAAGGATTTATGTTTTGTAGATACTGAGGTGTGAGTGTGTCTGTCTGTGTTTGTGCTTACATGTAGATCTGAATGAGCTACTGAATTGTATGTCGGAGAGCTCAATGAGGGCGTGTGTGCAGGCCTCATTTCTGCTGTGTGTCCTGGCGAGTGTATTATCTACGCCATGTCTGCCTGAGGAGTTTACTTGTGCGAGAGGCGGCTGTGTATCTGAGGAGCATGTATGTGATTTCAGAGAGAACTGTGAAGATGGCAGTGATGAGACAAACTGTAAGTATTAGTCTGTACATTTTTCAATGTCTTATCTGCTCTTGTATTTGTACATGTTTTCTGTGCTTGTGCAGGCAATTCTTTGACAGTAATGGTCCTTTCTTTTCCTCTCTGTTGACAACATGATTTTAAATGCCCCTAAAGGCCCTCATTTGTAAATAGTGAGATTTATGGCACGCTCATAAAAGGGGCACACTGGGAGGACTTACAACAGTGCTTTTGTAATATTGATTAAAATCTTCTAGGGCTTTTAAGAGGCAGAACATTACAGAATTGAGGTTGATGTATTAGGGTTGACCTCTGCTTTTGTTTTGCACCCTCATCCGTTTAATGATGCTAAGAAAAGATTTTCCATTAGCATTTTCATTTTCATCATGACGTCCATGTAAACACAGAACATTTATTCTGTATACCTATAATATATATTATACAACTTGGATTTCCTTATTTTGCATCTCCTGAATCTACTTTGTGACAATAGATTTTCAGTCAAGCGCCTATTAAATGCGTTGTGATGGATGGCATGTTTGTAATGGTGTCCCTGTAACAGATTTTAAATGATTAGCAGACAGCAGTGTTTATTTTACTGTAATGGCCTGATATAGCTTTGAGTTCCTCTCATATAGGTTCACAGTTTGTGAGATGTGACTTTGAGGAAGGTTTCTGTGGTTTTCAACTTCAAAATGAACATCATGTTTGGATAAGAGGATCAGGTTTGAGCTGTCCTAGTACCAAGGCAGACCACAGAGAAAATGTTACTGGTAAGACAGTTCATCTTATACCTGTATGGATACTACTTAACTCTATAAAGCCTACTGTTTCAAATTTGATACATGAATTCTAAGGCCTTTAATTATCAACATGGTCAAACGTTTCTAAAAAACCTGTTGTACACAATCTTCTACATGCCTTCCACCCTACGACTGATAGTACATGCTAAATTCCGAAAATTGCATATTTTTTGCATATCAGTTTGGGGTTTTTTCTCCCTGAGTGTAAGCACGATATTCACACTATACAATACTTAGGTTTAGTTTTATACTGAATTTCCTAACTTCTCAGGACACTATTTATTCTCTTTTGTCAGGTCACTGCCTCTATATAAACTCAAAAAATGGAGGAGGAGTCACCGCTGAAATATACAGTCCTCACTTCCAGCCTTCACAGACATGCTGGGTACAGAAAAACATTACTAAACATCTTTTGGTGTTGTATTTAATTGTCTAATTAGTACTTTAACTCTGATACCACATAAATCAGTAGTCTATTTCCTAAACCACCATCTGCTTTTTAAAGCAAGCTATCAAAACACGAATTTCCATGATATGTACACTACTGTGTGATAGAGCTTTTATACAACTGTTCAATAAACCATACATGAATATGTACTTACATTTTAGACAATACATAATACTTGTTTTTTTTTTTGCTCCACCAATGAAAATAGTTCAGAATGAAGCCACAGCAGATTCACTGTTTATGAACAAATCAGTTGAATGAATGATTCTATGATTTACTCTGATTTAGTTCCTGAATGAATAGGTTCACTGAATGGCTCACTCATATAGGCACTTATCGCCACTTACTGATGTAGCAATGTAAAACCTGCAAACAGATTTGCTGACAAACAGTCTGACTCGAACTAACACAGACAAGCTGAGTAATATAAACAGTGAAAAGTCCCAGTCTCAAATTATATAGCCTATTAAAAAATTATAAGAGCGATTTTAGTAGTTCAATAAATGAACCAATGCAATATGTTTGTTTTTGACAAGAAAGACACAGTGCCGAGTTTACCACAAAACATAAGCAGTATCTTGTTAATTGCTTAGCTCAAGCCCTCGATTATGTGCGTAGAACACTTATCCACTGCCACGGCTACACACTCTTATTGACAGCAGAGAGTTATGCATAGGCTGTCAGAGCCCTGACACAGTGGGTAGTGCATTCACTCTTTGTGATCTATGGTTTTAGATTCTCTGTTATGGTGTAATTCACTTTGAGTGCTTCTCTGCTTAAACAAAAATGAGATGACATTGAACTTGGCAGTAAGATGCAATAACATAACCTCACTTTACAAAAAAACTGCTTTGAGTATGAGATGCTTTCAGCATTAATTTAGTCTCAATTGGCCAAATATGTGAATATCTTTAATGTTTCAGCTTAAAGTTCAACATGTGTAATGAAGCGAGCAATGCACCGCTCGAATCCTTTGTTCACATAACACATTCTTTTGAAGATTTATATTTTCTCTCTCTTTGTTGTCCTTTCCGTTGAACAGCTAACTTTCTATCAGCATATTGGGATGCTGGCAGGGGCTTTGCAAGTTCTGATCCAGTTCATATCTTCAGGAGAGATGCAGGAGGTTTGGTTTCTTTCTGCCTCCAATCCTGATCCATACAATCTTCCCTGGATGCGAAGAGTGGTGGTGTTAAACAGCAGAGAGGAGTTTAAGGTTGGTGGGGTTATGTGTGTTTGGGGGAAGGGGTATTATTATTTGAACTTGTGAAGTAAGTATGGTGTGTAGTTCAGTCAGTAACACAAAATCACTGTTAATTTACAGGTTGTGATTAGAGGATTGATATTCTACAGCAGTGACCCATATGCAGTTGTAGCAATTGATGATGTGTCCTTCAGCAGAGGATGTGTGGCAGCAGTAGGTGGGTAAACACTAATATGCCTTTTCATGGGTGATTTTTTTTTTTTGCAAATCAGTCTGCACAGTCTGGACAGATTCAGGGTGCCATGTTTATCCAATAAGGCTGTCTAAATCCAAAAAGGGATTGTTCACCTAAAAATCACATTTCAGAAATCATTTACTCACCCTCATGTCGATACAAATCTGCATTTCTTTTGTGGAACATCAGTATCAGTATAAGTCAGGGGCATCGCTAGACCCTTTTTACTGGGTCATGAGCCCAGTACAAAATTACAGATAATTCCTTATACGTCAGTGGAATTGACGTCTACTGACCTGAGAATCATTTTGTGGGATAATACTTCAGCAATCAAGTCACATGTGTTTTCTATCAACTGTTTAGAATCAGAACTAGCAATGCCAGATTCACGAATTAATCACTTTTGATCTAATCGGTCGAACTGGTTTGCAAAAAGCGCTGCATTCGGCCTCTGAAGGGCACTTTGGGACATGACACCATATTGAAGGGTCGTTCCAAATAGAAGTGCTCAGAACTGGCTACTTCAAAGGGCCTTTCAGAATGAAGGATTTCAAAGGATACAACTGATGGATACTTTGCTCCCATGATTATTTGCGCGATGCAGTCATATTATAATTATCAAATTATCTTGAATCCTCCACATAGTATTTTAGGTTTCATCTGGGACAGAGGATATTCTGTCCTTACTTAGATATTCAACTGCAGCAAGCCCACTGATCTGCCACTTAACATTATATTGAGCAAAACCCAACACAACGATAGATCTACAATATTAAACTGATATCCATTCACACATAGGCTTATCGCGTGTTAGTTGTGGGTGGCTTACTATCCAACAAGCTACCAAACAAGCTAGGTAACATTATAATCGCTAACATAGCGGACTCATGGAAAAATACATCGGCTATCATTATTGCTTTGTCATGACTAATTTATTAATGACTCAGCATCATCTGTATTAAAGATAAAAGAATCACTTCATCTGATGTTTAAAGAGAATAAAATAGCCTTGACAGCCGACTTACTGGAGCCCCACAACTATTGAAGAACTGTGTTCTCTCTCACCGGACTTGTGTGTGTGGGTGAGGTAAAAGGGGAAAGCAGGGAGTGGACCAAAGCACTGTGCAGCAAGGGAGGGAGGACTCAAAATGTTTCTAAACTTAAAATGCTTTTTTTTGGTTCGCCCTATTTGCGTTTGTATTGTTTTTGCGTTTGTGCACAGCAAAAACCCCAGTGTTAAATTAACTCTAATAATGCATTATTTATCGGCTTTAAGATATCGGCCAAATTTTCTTATCGGGCCGATACCGATAACAGAAAAAATTAGCATTTATCGGCCGATACCGATATGGTGGCCGATATATCGTGCATCCCTAGTTAAAGTTAATAGTTAATAGATAATTAAGTGCTTAATTGAATGATGATTGACCATTAGTGAAGACACCTAATATTAACAAGTAGAATCACTGAAGGAAAGAGTCGACATTTTAAAGTCACCATTGTGGTGGTAAGTGTTTACTTTTGTTGGACTCCTGACCCTTGACTTTTAAAATATTTTTTTCTGCCTGCTTTAACTGTGTGTTTATAAAACACAGTTTAACATTGTTGAGTGTGGACTCAAATAAACTCTGTTTGGGTGGTTGCTGTGTATTGGACAACCCTCAGATGGGGAAGGACCTGAACTATACTAGAAAAGTAACCCCATGTGTACATTTAAATATACTCCTGGAACTTTAAAGGGGTCATATGATGCTATTTTCAAAGATCATTATTTTATGTTTTAGGTTTAATAGAATATTAGCATGATTTAATGTTCAAAAAGCATATTATTTTTCACATACTGTATATTATTGTAGCCCCTCTATGTCCAGTTTTTCTAAAACGTGTCGATTTCTAAAAAAAAAAAAAAAAACCTCCTTACAAAAAGCTCAGTGTGTTCTGATTGGCCAGTTGACCCAGTGCATTGTGATTGGCCGAACATCTCAAGAGTGTATCAGAAATGTAACGTCCATTACCATAATAACGAGCTTCGGCTTCCAAAGATTAATAATGTTGTCAGTTTTACCATATCAGTTCGAGCCCAAACCAGACTCTGAGCATGTAGATAACCAAGCCGATCGATCGGAACCAACTTTCCTAGTGCGACTTACAAAAAGACGAAAGTATCAGAGTGGTAAAAGCTGCACGTGACGAAAGAAAACACGTAGTGCATCTATGTTTGTCATCATTTCGCCGGCAGTTAAAATCAGAGAACAGAGGACACTATGTTTGTAAACATAAATCCATCTCTGCACTTGTGAACGTAAGAACAACAAACAATATGCATTACTCTACACTTCACCAAACTCCGGATTTGAACAGTCAATAGCAAATAATAAAACATAATTACGGGCTCTGATTCTGAAGTGCCAGAAATTCCTAACAAAGTTGGAATTGCTCCATTTTTTTAGAAACAGTCTTTGTGCACAGCCGGCCTTGTACTCTCCCAGGGTCAGGAAACTGTCCTCCATAAAATGCGCTGCACAAACATGAACATTTGGGTTGTACTCTTCTGGACAGTGTTGTGAATAAATCGTAACCACTGATTCCTAATTGTATCCACTTTCTGAAGGCCAAATAAAGTACTTTTGCATAGAAACCGAAACACACAGAATCTCCACAACATGGCGGCAACAACACTACTACAATACCCAAAACCAAACCATGCCTTCTTTCTTTGCGCATACATTTGGGCCACATTATGCAAATATTTCCACATAGTGACGTAGGTATGTGAGGGAGAATTTGATTGAGGCATTTTCAGGAGGTCTCGATCAGCCTTCTCTTTTAGATCCTTAAATCCTTTTGTGGGAGACTTTGAGCTTTGTAACTTTGCAGATCTTATACATGCACAAACAGCTACATAACACACTAAAGAAAAGATAAACAATGCAGGTTTATTTGCATAGCCTTCTTTGCTTATATTTACCAAGGACATTATCCAGTATGTATGAATATGCTCCTCCTTCCAATAGCCATGTTTGGGTCATAATATAGCTGTTTGTAAAGGCAAAAATATGAAGTTATATGATGGCTTTGCTCACTGATATGAAATTTCGGAAGGGTGTGAGGTGCAGAGAGCTCAGAAGATATGCAGGAATATAAAGCTTTAAATAAGTTCTAATACATTTACAGCCTGTGCTGGATGGATTGGGACACCAGAGGGACAATAGTGACAGGCAGAAGGGAACTTCAGCATATTTCTAATTTACAGTTCAGCCCAAGATAGAAAGAGGGAGAGACATCAGTTACATTTTTAATTTTAGTGTATGCATAAGTGCCATGACAAAATCATGGTGTGGTTTTATTATCTTCTGAAGATTTTATAGGTCTACATTTTAAGATGTAATTGCTGACACAGCTTTGCAGTAAGTCAGTAACTTTTATTTTACATATATAAGTCACATACATATTTGTTACATACAAATTACATATTTGTCACAAACAATGCTTAAATGTTTATAGGAAAAGATAATCATACTTTATTTTCCTCCATAAATACAGACCTGCACAGAACAGAACAAGGCTGATTGTATATTTTCTTTGACCCAGTGTTTCAAAGGGAGGTTTATGTGTTTAGTTGTAAATGTGTGTGTTACGATACTGCATTATTGTGATTTATTTCAGCCATACCCTGGACAATCAGATTAATCATAATAATGTGCCCATGTTCAGATCTACATGACTCCGTTAATAGAGGTGATAATGCAGGAAGGAGCTCTAGCCACTCTTCACTTTATGAGTCCCATCTTGACCTTTTGCTTACCTTTTCTATGAAATATGTATTTTGGCTTTATTGTTTTCTCCAGAGACTGACATCAAGGCACCTCTTCCAGCTCAATGCCTCCCATCTCAGTTTTACTGTGGGGAAAACGTCTGTGTAGATGGGGTGAAAGTGTGTGACTTTTCATTAGATTGCCCCAATGGAGAGGATGAGGCCAAATGTTGTGAGTATCCACCTTATCTTTAACGTAACCTTGTGTAGGGCCATTTGTAAATTGAATGTGCAAGGCTTCAGGTGTCATTCATGTACAGTTATTTTTACTGTAGAAATAGTTTACTTCCACATTGCAAAATAAAAGACTGGAGACTCAAAGATCAAAACAGCTTAAAGCTGACATGATTTCACTGGAACATGAGCCATGTCACTGTTTTCTTGACAAAGATTCTGCGTAGGTGTTTGATAAAAAAAGATCACCCATAAATGAAATTTCTGTCATCATTTACTCACCTTCATGTTGTTACAAACCTACTGTATATGGCTTTCTTTTTCCTTGGAACATAATTAAGATATTCTGAAGGTTTGAACTGTTTTGTCTATATTTTGAAGGGTGGTTTTATTCTTTCATTTATTGTTTCACTATTATTTCATAATGTTAATTTGACTTTCAGCAGCACAGTGTGATTTTGAGTCTGATTCATGTGGCTGGTATGAGGTTTTCCAGAGTGATGGATTTGAATGGGCGAGAGGCTCAGCTAATGGAGTCGCCATAGATTATCCGGACCAAACACCACCCCAGGACCACTCTACTAATACAAGTGCAGGTGAGGGCATTGACATAAATACACAGACTAAATAAGTCATGAAATGATTTTGTCTCATATTTAATTTATACTCTCACTCACAAAATATGCTAAAACTGTAGATCTGACCTATAAACCACATCCACTTATTCCATGTGCACATTTCATAACTTTTCAGTTTCTCCATGAAGAACCTTTACTTAGTTTGCATTAGCACTGAAATTTTTTTTTAAATCCTACTTAACTAATAATGGTTATCTAGTGTAAACTGTGTGAGAATTAGGCTAGTTCATTTCAATTTTAGTGCTTTGCAAAGGAAAAGTAGTGTTTTTTTTCATAGTTCCATTGCTAAATATCTGTTAATGTTTATCATATTATTTTAAATGTTTATTTTAATTGAATGATTTTTAAAAATGTCACATAATCTACTTATAGTTTAAAAACAACAATGTATAATATAATATTACATGTTCAGGATTCTGTTAATACCTTTTAATGTTTTACTATCCTTTTCTACTATCCTAGGCCACTTCATGTTTATTTTCAAGAAGAGCAGTAGGCTTTCCCAGCAGGCTTTACTGCGCAGTCCTACATTCCAGCAAGCAAGTTCAGATTGCATCATGACCTTCTGGTAAGGCTCTGATCTTGCTTAGTGAAATTCATTCATTAAAAATCAATTAAAATATATGTTAATATTTGCAAAAAAACACAAATCACAAACAATATTATTCACTGCTTTACAGTATATTTTCTAACATTCAGTGTTTAGATTTTAATATTTACATTGATTGTTTTGCTTACAGGCACTATAATTCTGGCCATTCTGTTGGTGCTGCTGAAATGCATCTGGTGATAGAGGACTCAGACAGCATCACTATGCTTTGGCAAACACTTTACAACCAAGGTAACCAGTGGCACCCTGTAATCATCCAGATTGGAAGGCAGACCAGGCCTTTCCACATCTCATTTGCAAAACTGAGCCTGGCTGTGTATGAAGGAGTCTCCGCTCTAGATGATTTTATGTTCCATAACTGCTCATTGCCCAAGGCTGTGGAGATGTGCCCAACTCCTAATCACCTTCACTGTGGCCGGAGCAAAGCATGTGTGGACTATTTTCAGATCTGTGACCTGATCGATGACTGTGGAGATGGAACAGACGAGGAAAACTGCTGTCAGTATATTGGTGGAGTTTTAAATGGTCACTAAACAGTTTATATTGTTTGATGTTAGCAGTCTCTTTTTTTTGGCAATCGGTTTACAGTGATCTTTTCTTCTCCTATCAGCGCCAGAGCTAATGTGTGACTTTGAGGAAGATCTGTGTAGCTGGACTCAGGAACATGAGGAGGATATGTTTGATTGGACCCATATCCAAGGGCCCACTCCCACTTTCAACACGGGCCCATGGAAGGACCACACACGAGCCAGTGCGGATGGCCACTTCCTCTTTATCGAATCTTCAGAGCCACAGAAGTTCAAAGACACCGCCGTTCTTATCAGTCGGCCTTTTCTCCGAACTCCTCGCCTAGGTCCTGAATCCAAACCACCCTGTGTTTTCAGATTCCACTATCACATGTTTGGCCAGCATGTGTTTCATTTGGCCGTGTACATGCGCACACGTAACAGTGGGCGGGGGAACTTGTTGTGGGTTCGCTATGGTGACCAAGGCAACTTCTGGTACAGGAAGACACTGCTGATCAACAGTGCCCACCACTTTCAGGTGAGTTATTGATCAGAATTATGAGTACTGAAGTCTACAGGTGTAATGGTGTCCTTGTGTGCTGAATCCTTTGATTAACTGGCTGCTACAGCTTTAAATTTGGCACAAAAAGTGCCATTAAAGCTCATACATGTAACTCTGTTGATAATGCATGCACTAAAGACTGAGCAATCATATGGCACTTTTCCACTGCATGGTACAGTTCACCTTTGGGGGGTTTTCCACTTGCTACAGTAACTGGTACCTGGTACCTTTTTAGTACCACCTCGGTTGAGGTTCCAAGTGAACCATACCGTTACCAAAACGTGACGTGTAAACTCTGCTGATCACGGATTGGCCGGAGAGAATCGTCACTACCTACGTCACTGAACTTGCGACACAAACACAACAGAACCGCTAGATTTAAATCAGAGCATTGAGAATTTGCTGTGGGGCATATCCAACAACACCTATTGCAGCAATGCAAGTAGAGATAAACGAAATGCCGCTTTATATTAGAAGGCAACAGTTAATGGCTGTATATTGGACAAATCTTAAGAGTCAGGATGAGGTACATCCAACAAAGAAAATACTAGGAATATGTTGGGAACAAGGAATGAATAAACATAAGAGTTTTGGATGGGTTGTAGAAGAAGATATTAAGGAGATGGGGATAAACAATTATAGATGTATACCAAGAGTAATGTATCCACATAACCCCTTATGGATTCTTCCTCAGCCAGTAGTAGATTTAACATTACTGAAGATAAGACAGAGAGAAGGAAGTAATGAGATGGAAGTAATGAGAGCAAAGGAGTATTTAGGGCTTATGTATGGAAATAATACATAATGTGTTGATCACAAACTCATTCACTCAACCAATTTGTTCAAACGCATTCAGAAATTGTCACGGAACACTGAGAGGAGACAAGGTTAGATCCATGTGCAGAATGTTTATTCATGTACAAATAATCAGAACAGAACAAAAACGTGGCAAAGGGTAATTCAAAACACAGGGAACAAGAAACAGGACGTAACTAAATCAATACTGCCGCAGAGACAGACAGAGTGAGCATGGAATAAATAGGGATGGGATGATGAGTAAATTACCTACAGGTGATCATGATCAGAACAGAAAGACTAGCAAAGGACTATGGGAAACAGCGTTCAAAACATGTAAAAGTGAAATGGGAAGAGCACCCTCAAGTGGCCAGTCCAGGGCACCACAACCAGACACTGACAGAAATAGCTGAATTTGTTTGTGGTTTGTTTGGAGACATTTTCATTGGCAGAGCAGGAATAGACACATTTGTCAATTAGTAGCTTCAACTCGTGGCAACCCAGGAAGATTTTGCACGGAAAATCAAAAGGATGTGACGTGCCCCAAGAACCTTTCTTCTGTTCTATGACACATGCAATGAATGATTATAAAATGCTTACTCAGGTTAATGCTTAAAGAGGTATTCTGTACTGTAATGTCAACAAATCATGCAAAGAAAAGGGATTAATTCAAACTTATAGTCTCACAAAGTCAGATCTATAGTCTGTAGTCTCAAATATATGTTTTAATCAAACTATCATAACAGTGTGATTTTAATTATGTCATCTTTCGACATGATGCCAGTGAATTGCAGAGCTGGTGCAAACATATCCATGTCGCTATGACCAGATGCTTTCTTAACTGCTCTTTTCTCACTGCTGTCATTTTAGTTGTGTTTATTTTGTTATTGAGAGGAAAGCGTACAGAACATACTTACATATTCATGTATACACCACTCTCATCAGCGTGGACGCCATCTGAATATTCATTAACAGTATATCGCTGCAAAGGTGTTTCTAACTTTTTACTTCTAAGTGAAGAACAATGAAGAACACTGAAGGACCATGAATCACTTCAGTCTCTTGTACGTTATGTGTGCATGACTGCAAGCACAAGCAAGTTGCTGGCTGCAGTTCACTTAATGGCCACCTGTGTCGCTAATATCAAGGGCTTATGAATTCTACATATTGCCCCTTTAAATAAAAAATATAAAGGCAGTGGTACTTATTATTAGGTGATTCACTTGTTCTTAAAGTGGTCATATGATGCTGCTAAAAAGAACATTATGTTGTGTTATGCAAATCTTCCCACATCGTGACGTAGACATGTGGGGGCGTGTTAGAACGAGCCGTTTTAGGTAGGTGTGACTGACTCTTAACTTTTATAAAGAATATCTCTTTGGATTTGAGACTTTAGTCTTTGCAACTTTACAGATCTTCTTTATGCACCAAGAGCTTGTAACACTACAAAGAGAAAGGAAAAATTGAAATCGCATCATATGACCCCTTTAATGTGTAAATTTTAATGGTCTAGTAAGTGTTTTTTTTTTTTTTTGTAATAAAGTTTTACGCAGAAAGAAATTAATCAGACAAAGCATAACCAAAGCATACAGTATATGTGTTATGTCTACTGTAGTCCACTTATTTTTAGAACGTTGTTAGCACGTTGTTTGCCATCTGAAAAATATGCACGCTGCAAAAGAAAGATAGACTCTTCTTTCTTTCTTCTTGCTGCTACAGATTTTACTGGAGGGGACTGTTGGTGATGACTTCAGAGGAGATATTGCCATAGACGATCTGTCTTTCCTTGGCTGTCAGCCTTATGATGGTGAAGTAAAAATGACATGCAATTAGTTTCAGGTTAAAAACAAATAAATAAAAAAAACTTGTTAAAATTACATTCTTATTAGGACTGGTAGTGTCAATATGGATCCAGTTGCCTGTTTCAGGATGCCCTTAAGCTAAAATTCTTGGTTTTAATGTAGTTATGTGTGTATATCTTTGTACACTGTAGGTGAATTACCCTCAAAGGAGCCCAGCACCTTTGCCCCCATCCCCACCTTGTCAGCAGCACCCCCTCATAGCTGCCCTTCTGACCAGTTTGTGTGCTCAACTACAAGAGAGTGTGTGAGCCTCAGTCAAGTGTGTAACTTCACACCAGACTGCTCCGATAGCTCTGATGAAGAGCACTGTGGTAGGCATCTCGTTTATCTAATACTTTAATTGAGCAAGGATGGATTAAACTGATCAAAGGTGACAGTAAAGACGCTTATAATTTTACAAAATATTTTTATTTCAAACAATTGCTTTCTATTCATCGAAGAATCCTGATTGATAATAATAAAAAATGTTGTTCTGAGCAGGAAATCAGCATATTACAATGATTTCTGAATGATTAAGTGACCCTGAAGACTGGAGTAATGATGCTGAAAATTCAGATTGGCCATCCCAGGATTAAACAACATTTTAATATATATTCAAATGGAAAACCGTTATTTTAAATTGTAATTTATAATATTTGTAATATATTTAAATTGTAACCGACCCCAAACTATTCATCCATCTGACTGTTTTCTCTGTCCTCAGTGAAGCAGCATTGTGATTTTGAAGGGGATGCTTTTTGTGGATGGTATTTAAGTGTCCCAGCCACTCCTGTTCCTCCTCATGCCTTTCGCTGGCAGACAGGACAAGGGGAGAATATTCACCAAGGAGAACAGAACCACAGACCTGCTAATGACCACACACTGTGAGCAATAAACAGCATCATTTATTGGAATGTGTTTGTGCTTTCGTTTATAAATGCATGGTCAGGTTTACATATATTTTGCTGTGTTTTTGCTTTACTGTGTTTACTCATCTGTACACGTGTTCGTTTTGCAGTGGTTCATCAGAGGGTTGGTATATATTTGCGGACAGCTCCAATGGAGGATATGGTCACACCACTGATCTCTTGACTGCTCCCATTAAAATAACAGGGCCCCAGTGCACTCTTGTGTTCTGGTATCACATGAGTGGCTTTACTGTTGGAACGTTGCAGGTGCAGTTATCCAGAAATTATGAATATAATTGTTATTCATTTGCTGCACTGGTAACCCATGTCTAGAAAACATCCAAACATATTATTAACGTGACAGAATAAATTTCATGCTTCATTTAGTCTTTCATTGTGCTCAAAGTCTAAAATGGTTGGAAGGATTTTCCAGAGAACAATTTGCAGTTTGTCACAACAGTCTCAAAACTCTATGTGCAGGTCTTCATCAAATCAAGTGCTGTCACACATGAAGTTTGGTCCCAAAATGGTAACCAAGGCAACCGCTGGAGGCGGGGCGAGGTCTTCATAGGAATCTGTCATAACATCCAGGTCAGTGTTTCTGTTTTGTGAGGACAAATAAATACTTCTTCAAAAAGTAAATAAATGAAAATAAATGTGAAAATACATTTTCAAAAAGAAGTTTTTGAATGTCCAGTTTTTTCCCCTTTGGTTCTCCAGTTGTGCCTAAACAACTGCAAATAATACACCAACAGGTACTGTCAGTCAACCACATTACTGTTCAAATGTCTGAGGTCAGAAAGATTTGTTTTTATAAAATTATACTTTTTAGCAAAGATGCATAACTGAATAAAATGGCAATAAAGACAATTATAATGTTGCCAAAAACTTTTAAATAAATTCTGTTCTTTTTATAGAATAGAAAACCTTCTATTCTTGGAATAAAGCTAAAAAAGTATCATGGTTTGCACAATATTATTGTTTTTACTGTAATTTTAATCAAATGAATGCAGCCTTGGTGAGCATAAGAGACTTCTTTCAAAAAAACAACCCCAAACCTTTGAACCATAATCTGTCAACCAGGTAAACAAATTTTATAATATTTGTTTAAAAAAATGTTTTACATTTCATAAAGGTGATCAGAGGAGAACTGTATGTGTTTAGTATTCCTGAAATGTGCAGTAAAATGTTAAGTGTCAAGCTGATGTTTGGACTGTTGATGCTTGATCAGAAATATCATGACCTTTTCTCCATCTGGCCCTTGCATTATTAATATTTATCAACACTTCTTATATATAAACACTCTGACAAGTTCTCTTCATTGTGCTAGATACTTCATGACACCCTCAGTCATTAGTGCTGACTGCCCTTTTGCTGTGTACTATCAAGGGCCTTAGTGCAGCAGCTCTTAAGCACTTCCAATTCACAATCTCTACATGTATATTTTTCTCTTTTAGTGTTTCACACATATACTTGTTTGTGCTTTTCTTTTAAGAGAATCAATCGATTTTGAGTGACAGCTTTTCACATTAGTCTGTTTACCTGACTTGTCTCATAGAGTAAATGTGTGCTTTGATTTGTGCATTTGACTATGCAGCCGTATGGAAAGTACTGTGGAGTAAATGAAGATGTTTACTGCAGTTTAAAAGCATGCATATTTTGGTTTATGAATGTATCAATAGGTGGGTCTTCGAGCCAAGAGAGGCATCAGCTACATGGGGGATATTGTTGTTGATGACGTGGCATTTGTGGACTGTGCCCCTCCAATAACGTCAGATCTTCCTTGTGCTAACAACAAGTTCATATGTGCCAATGGTCACTGTATCTCTGAGGACAACTTGTGTGACTTTATTGATCACTGTGGAGATGGCTCAGATGAGAATCATTACATATGCAGTGAGAAACAAATCTATCATCCTCTTCCCTGTCACTTGTAACACAGATGTTTTCAACTGTATTTCAGTGGTCAGTCACAGAATTTGTGTATGGAATAACTTTACACCTCACATACTGTATTGAATGTATACGACCGTATTTGTATTTTGACCGTAAATGTATATTGCATGTACAGTCGTGTTTGTTTTAAAGGGTTAGTTCACCCAAAAATTAAAATACTGTCATGATTTACTACTTTCCAAACATGTATGATGGTTTTTAGTTATGTGGAATACAAAAGAAGATTTTGAAAAACATTTTGAATTTTCTTTTTGTCCATACAATGTAAGTCAGTGGGCTCCAATATTTAACAATATTCATGTTTTTTTTCCCCCAGAGGGATACAGCGGTCGCTGCAATTTCGAATTTGACCTTTGCTCCTGGAGACAGAGCCAAGATGATGACTTTGATTGGTTGATAAAACCAGGAAATATGCACACACATGGGACTGGGCCATCCACTGATCATACCCTCCGTAAACCATCAGGCCACTACTTATATCTAGATGGGTCCTTCCCACAGACAACTGGACATACTGCCCAAATTCAAGGACCTCTTTTCCACCACTGCAGCAAAGACTGCAAAGTAAGTGCTCACTGGTGTTTTTATGTGATTAATTCACTGAAGTCCAGGATGAGTTAGTACTTGCATTATATTCAGTTCAATACTATGAAAACAATCAACAAAAAACAGTATTGACAGGAATGATAAATGTGACATTTCCATAGACTTGATCAGTGGTACATGCTTTTTGTTTTTCCTTGTTCATATGTCCCTGCTGCTTCCTTTTATTCATGGAAAACTGATATTTGTTTGATAAGATCAGCATCTTTGACATCTGTGGTGCAGATGTCACCAACAACATCAGTAAACTATTTGCAGAAGTTTACAGTTGGTAGTTTCCTATTTTCAAAAAGGATTTTTGAAGGTTTATGGAAGCATTAATTAAACCGACTGACTATATTCAATCCTATTAATTGGCTTAGAAAGAAGAGTAATTTACTGAAAGTAGTTTTATTTTTTTAAAGTGAATTTTCAATAAATAGTATTTCTTTGTAAGTGGGTAGGAACTCTTTTTTTTACTGAAAAGATAATGGCAAATTTGTTTGTGGGTTTACATATTAGAACACAAATTTGAAATCTGGGCCTTTCTTCCCCCGGTTGGGTATTGGGCATTGGTTGGGTATTAATTCACAGTTTCATAGTAATACCCCTTTTAAATGTTTTTTTTTTCCAACTAAGAGGTAATGGTATACACAACAGTGAACATTGGAGTCAGCAGCAGTTCTGTAATGTCCCTGCTGTGAATGTCAAAAATCCCCCAGCACTGCATGTAGCCTCACAAAATGTTACAATGTAGCTGCCGATCATCTACCAGTCCAAAAAAGCTTTACCTCTACATAGTTTTATTCTACCTCCCTACAGCAAGGTGGCTTCTTGGCCCTGGACAATACAGAGGGATTCTTTAAATAATACTTGTGTTTTAAGGAAGGTTTTATAGATTGATCTTTTCAATTAGATCATTAGCACAATGAGGATATTTAATTCCCCTGCATTGCTGGATCCATAGCTTTTGCTGAATATAATGGGAGGAAGTGAATGCCACGGTTTGTCTCTGTTACTGTGAAGCACATCACTCAGTCATTGAGCCAGCCGGCAGCACTCAATCATCCTGTCAAACACACACACACACACACACACACACAAAATGTCTGTGTGAGAAAGAGGAGCACCTTTCAAAGCTCTCATCAGTTTGTGTGTGAAGGCAATCATGTTTCTGGATCTCCTCTAACTTGACAGACTGTGTTCATATTTTTTAGAGGTGTCTGTGTGTGAGATAATTAGCCCGTGGAGACTCATTTTCCCATTGTCCTCCCATTCAGCTTGCATCAATCAATCACAAGAAACAGTTGAAGAGGAGGAGTTTTTGTGTGTACTTGTCAGCCTTGGTTAGATGTTTTTAAAATTGTAAATTACAGTTAGGAACATACACGTTTTTTGTTGTTGTTTTTATATTTTGTGTCATATGCTTAGTGAAATTATAGCAAATTTGTGTGTGACAGAATCAATTGTCTGATCCTAAAAGGTCAGACTCTTCCACTAATTCACCAGTCAGTCAAACACTGACAGGAGTCATTTACACATACATACAGAAACGAAAGAAGAATATCAGCCACCATGACAAGCACAATCAATCAATAAAAGAGAAACCTTTCAAGACTCTCTTCCAAAGAGACACTGTCATGGCAAACTATCTTAGCAGATTCGCTAGTTTAGCTGAAGTGTATTATTGGTACAGCTGTAGACGGAGTCTGGAATTTAGCTGGAATTAGTCTAAATATTTTTTGGATTGGAATATAGTATTATATTGACAGATGATCTAAATGATTGAAACCAGCAGAAATGCATAAATGTCTTTATGAGAAAGTTTAATTGATTAATTGAAGGCATGGATGTGTTCAAAGTTTGGTTCTGACTTGAAGCCATCTATGTTGGCTGTGCAGAAATAGACAAACTATTTGGGAATATTGTATCTAAAATGTAAGTTCATCAGTATTAACTGTTGAATAAATAATATTAAACTAGTAATCGTACTGTTGGTCTAAACATCAGCGCTGCTGTGATTGTGGTATATTTGCGTATAATAGCTTATTAGTGTGTTATGTGTAAGCCAGGTTAAAGAGATGGGTCTTTAATCTAGATTTAAACTGCAAGACTTGAAAAAAACTTGGTTAGTAAGATTTATTTAAGAAATTAATAATTTCAATCAGCAAAGATGCATTAAATTAATCAAAATTGATAGCAAACATTTATAATTTTATATTTGTTTCTGTTTCAATTAAATGCTGTTCATTTAAAGTTTTTATTTAAGAATCCTGAAAGAACACATCACACTGTTTCCACAAAAATATAAAGCAGCAGAACTATTTTTTAACATTGATAATAATAAGAAATCAAATCAGCATATTGGAATGATTTCTGAAGGATCACTTGACACTGAAGAATGGAGTAATGGCTGCATGCTGAAAATTCAGATTTGCATCACAGTGATAAATTACATTTGAAAACATCATCTGTTTTTATGCATTAAAATATTTATCTATGTGTGTGTTTTCGCAGGATCCTGTCCACCAGGTTCTCTACAGTGTACCAATGGCAATTGCTACAAACGAGAGCAGAAATGTGACTTCACTGATGACTGTGGAGATGGAACTGATGAATTGGATTGTGGGACATCCTGCTCATTTGAACATGGCCACTGTGGTTGGAAAAGCAGCCCGGCAGACACCTTTAGTTGGGCTCGTGGTGTCGGCTCCATTCATATGATTAGACCTCCTCATGATCACACCCTTAAAAATGAAAGCGGTAAGACTATATGCCACTGCATATGTACAACAAAAATGCATGGATCTCACATGGAGGCCTAACCTTCACACCCACATAAGAAGCATATTGTAAATAACGTGTCTGCACATTGACATGACTTAAACAGATAGAAAGCAAACACTCCTGATCTGATACCGTTTTAAACCAGTGTAAGTATATTCACTCAAACAGTGTTCTAAACAACACTACTTCATAAATAACAGAGCATTCACAATGGTAATTGCAGTACATCCTGCACCTGCTACTTAGATGTTTGAAATAAGATAATTTATTTATGTGGAGATGTTTGCTCATCATCTGAGGTTGTGGGAATGGGATGATACTTGAACTAACTACTGTATCAGTAATTCAGCAAGTGAATTTTTGTTGTTTAACATATGGCCCTTTAATTTATGCATTTCACAAGTTCACCTGCATATCCAGTCATAATGAATTGATGAAATAATGAAAGAATTGTCACTGAGGTGGCTCAGTGACTGCTATATATGATAATATTTGACAGGACTGATCAGGCTCCTCCCAGACTTGCTTTTAGAAATACCCCTTTTTTTTATTAATACACCCAGTGCAATAAAAATGAAAATTTCTCATGCAAGCTATGAAGTCTTGCCAGTCTTAGACATGGTTTTATGATTTCAAGGCCCCATCTCTTCAGTGTAGCCTCCTTTATTGATTTGGTGCTCTGCTTCACTTTATCTCAGCAAGATATTTGTTATTAATAAAGTAGTTGTGAGCTTGAGATTCTGTGTATATCCTTTCATAAGCAAGGTTTTCTAGCATCAACAGAACTGTATGAGTCCCAAAATCCTGTGAAAGATACAGTAAGTGGGAAAGCCATGCTTGATGACAGTCAGAAGTTTTAGCAGAGACCTATAGATTACAATTGGCAGTCCTATATTTCTATTATTTCTGACTCAAATAGCATGCATGATTTCAGTTTAGCTTCATCCCTGTTTGAGTTCATCTGTTTGTAATTTTCAGAATAACTAGACTTTAATTTGGTTGTATGCCAGAATAGGATTAGTGCATCCAAAATTATATGCTACATTCAAAAAATAAAAATAAAATAAAACAATACTACATTACTAAACTTGCCTGTTTAGTGTACTGTTTTCAGTGAATATTTGAAATACTCATGCATGCATGCCTTTTAGACTGATAATGCCCACAAATCCTTGCTTTATTTTCCTAACCAATGGAAGAGGTGGAGTTTGCACTATACATTTTCAGGAGTACGGGCATGCAGATTTTTATCAGTCTGCTAAAATTAGTTCTTCTGAAAGTGACCCAGCCAAAGTTACAAAAGTGTGTGAAGTTTGTGGCAATAAAGCTTGACTAATGCTGCCAGAATGTAGGTTTGAGCACCTCTACCACTGAGGAAGTATGTTCCATGATAAATTTTGTTGATGATATAAAAGGTATTACATGGGTATTATTAATGTCAGTCTCTCCCTACACAGGCCACTTTGTATATCTGGCAGCCACTCCTGTGGGATTGAAGGGTGATAAAGCTCACATGAGAAGTTCTGTGTGGAAGCAGTCTAGTGCCATATGTAAACTCACCTTCTGGTACTATATTTCTGAGAAAGCCACAGGAATCATCCGGCTCTTCGCTAAGGTACATGACTAGATCTTACCAAGTGGAGCAAACATAAAGTGCCACTGGAATATATAGCTTAAATCAGGGAAAGTGTGGAGGTCTTTATAGCACTGTTGACATAAGCTGAAACTAGTGTTACTTGCTGAAACATGTTCTTACATGACTTTTCAGTGCTGTGTTATGTGTGTTTCTTAGCTGAGATAAACCATTTAGCACTTCAAGTTTGTGATATGAAACATACCTCAAGAGGGATTATGTGCAATAAGGTCTTCCTGTGAGGAGCATTGGGAGGTGATAAATGTAGCCTAACTACAGAATTATGAAAAATGTTAAAGAAAATAGGGAAAAAACATGTTTTGACTTAGTATGAAACAGAAATGTGATTGTCTTTTTTGCCTACTGTGACATATACCCAAATGAAACGGCTTCTTGAATGGGACAAAATGTAGGATGGGGCTTGATTTTGTCCAGTGGGAATTGATTGGATCATTGGATTGTTGGCATTTTCTGTTTGCTGTTATTAGGGCTCATACATTTAAAAAAATATATGTGTATAATAAAAATGTATAAATGAATTAGCAAAAGCTATATGTATTTTGCCTTTTCTGCATATGTGATGGATAGACAGAAAATGAGCTGAGGGAGGTGTGGACAGAGCGGCAGATGCAAAGGGAATGGAGAAGAGCGGAGGTATCTCTGAAGAGCCTGAGGAACTTTATTCTCATATTTGAAGCAGTTCGAACACAAGACGTGAGTGGTGGAGCGGCTCTGGATGACCTGCAGTTCATTGACTGTGCACCACGTAAGTGTTCTTTTTTTTTTTCATTCAGGCCAATTGATTTCCATTCTTATTGTTAATATAGCTTTAAACAAGCTTAAATTTGATATCTGACTAGCTAAGCTGATGTGAGCATAAATGCCAATGTAAGCTTGAGACGTGCTCTATGAACAAGTGAAAGCTGCAGGAGAGTTTGACTAGTTCGAGCAGTGATGCTCAGAGGGAAGCAACAATGCCTCCAGTTCTCATCTCCACATTTATTTCCCATGAGTCTCTTTTGCTTAACGTTCATGCATAAGCTTGACCAGCTCAGGGCTATGAGGGTTGTGCTCAGCAGTGCCTGATGGAAAGCAGTACCGCCATCTAATTGGATGACAATTGATTTGCTAATTTTGAAAAGCCATCGGGGAACAAAACGAAAGTCAGAATAAGTTCCTCTTTTGGTTCCCTGGCTTGACATGGAAAATGTCAGATTTAATTTGCATACTGGCACTTCTAAATCACAGTAATTACACTTGAGCTTTTGGATCATTCAGTGAGACTGTGTGTAAAGCAGAGATATGAAACAATATGTGATCAAAGTTTAATTCATAGTTTTTTTTTTTTAAGTAAATGCAGTGGTTTTCATTAGAAATGAACATTCGTGACTTTATCATATTGTCAGACTTTTGGACCTGTTTTGCCCCCGTAGTCCTTCCTGTGTTTCCTTATTTGGTCATATTCCTGTCCTCGTTTAGTTTGATTATGTGCCATTGATGTCACCTGTGTTCCCCAATCATCCCCTGTATAAAAGTCCTAGTCTGTTCAGTTTGTGTTTGTCAGGTCTACTCGTTCTCTACGTGTGTTGGCTATTGTGGATTATCTCTTGTGTTTCCTTGATTAAAGACAGTTCTTGTTTACTCGTGACTCCTGCGTGCTTCGTCAACAGCGTGACGTGTCACATGACACATATATTTTAGGTGTAGGGACATGACCCTTTTTGGTTTTGAAATGTACAACAAGTTTCACCACACCCAATAAATAATTCAACTAAACTACAGTTACTCACAGCTGTCTGTAATATAATAGGCTGTATAACTTGGATCAGTGCTACAGTGTAAATAAATTAGCTCTATCAAACCGTGAAGAGAAGCAGAGCAATGAAATCTATTTTTTACAACCTATTTCTTTGAGGGAATATGTGCTTTGGAAGGAATTTCTATTCCTAAATTCCTAGACTTTTCACCCCCATGGCATTATAACTCAAAATTTCTGAGAATTAAACAGGACATATTTCAGCCTGAATGATCTTAATTTGCTGTCATGTTACATTCAATGAATTTGAAGCTATTCATACTAAAAAGCTCTGAATGGATGGTTTTATTGCTATTTTGAGCAATGATGTTGAATATGATCATACGTCACACATCATTTGGATTTCACATCTTTTCATTGTTAGATGATCATTTTTGTTATTAGGTTACCTTTTATTTATTTTTATTTTTTTAAATTATGCTGTTTCAGATCAGTGAGACTGAAAGAGTTTCCTTGTATTTCAGGAGCTGTGCATCCTGGATCATGCCCTGCTGTTACAGATTTTGTGTGTAATAATGGAGACTGTATAGAGTATCATTTGGAGTGTGATGGTAAAGCTGACTGTTCTGATGAGTCTGATGAGATGGACTGCAGTAAGTACATCTGCACTAAACTTGAAATTCTGGACTATTAATACAATATAGATACAATGTAAATACAAAATTGATATTAATACAATATCTATGGAGCTAATATCTCATCTGTTCATGTGGTCTTTTAGTGAATGTTCCAGGAGCTTGTAATTTTGATATGCCCAGCGACCATTGGCAGGAGACCTGTCAGCTGTCTCAGGATCCTCACGATGACTTTGATTGGGACATAGGCTATGGCAGAATGCTTAATGGGACAGGACCATCAGCTGACCACAGCCCCAGTTAGTAAAACCTAAACTTCACAATGACCTTGAATCACCTGGGTAATACAAATTTGAATATTAAACACACACATATAATCACTAAAAAGTAACATAATGAAATCTTTAGTTTGCTTTAAGTAATTAGAAAATGTGCATTGCTAAGTGCTAAAAGCTAAATATTAAGTTTATTATGTCATAATGAGTGTGTCTTTCTGACTGCCTGAGATTTGAGAGTCCCTTTGGATCACACAGATTGTATTGCCTGGACAGTGACTCTTCTTACCTCCCTTTAACAGTGAAACAGATAGCTTGATAATACCAGATTCTGAATCCAGACAACCACATATGAATCTAAGTCCAAGCCCTTCTACTTTATGTAAATATCTGAGGACAAAATAGCAATTTTGTACAAGTTTCCCATGAATATGGGATGCAGTTTCTCTAAAATTGAAGCCAGCCATCTGAATCATCTAATGATTTGTTGCATGATTTAAAAACCCAAGGGTTGAAGCTCAGAAAAATCCATCACCAAAAGCCATTTTCCAGTTACTTCATCAATGGGTTTAATTAAGATCTGGACTTCTGCTCCTCATGTACTCATGTCCCGTTCTGCTGAAAGATCAGTGTCTTTGAGTGAAATGGTTAAGTGTACATTATTTTAATTGTGAAAATGAGTCTGCCCTCTAAAAGGTGATCGATTTACTGAACCTACTATTGATTTTTCAAGCCAAACAAAGAGTCAAGGAAATTGCTGCACGTCTTTTTGAGTGAAGTGGTGGAGGAGTCATGCAGTGAAATCTAATCATGTTTGTTGTTACAAGCTCTATAATACTATAATAATATAATCTAATTTTTGACATGTTTCTAATATTTGTAGGGGTGTAGTGGTGTAAAAGTATTGAAGTCTATGCAAAATGAAAATTCACCCAATCTGTTTTGTTAATGCATGTCATAGATTTTATGTTATAGTTTTTTTATGCTTGTGAAAGATTTAATTTTTTAACTCCTGGGTAATTTTTTATGTAAAAACGCAACATGCTAATGTGTTTTTCTCAAATTCATTTACATATTATAACTGATTTAGCAGGCAATATTTAATGCAGTGAAGATGACATTTGGATTACTCTTTCAGATGGAGGAGGGGGCTACCTGTATGTGAACTCCAGTGCGCAGACAGAAGGAGATATCGCCAGATTAATAAGCCAGCTGGAGTTTCCTGCGAGTGTCGGTATATGTCATCTGCGCTTTTGGTTCCACATGTACGGCTCACATCACATGGGTACACTGAAGGTGAGATAATAATGCACTTTAATACACATCAATTTTGAAATACACACAACATCTATTACATAAGTTCTAACCATACCATTCAAAAGTTGAGCGTATGTATTTTTTTTTTTCATGTTTTTGGAATAGTCTCTTATGCTTACCAAGTCTACATTTATTTAATCAAAATACAGTAAAACTGTAATATTGTGAAATATTATTTCACTTTACAGTAGCTGTTTTTAATTTTAATACTGTATATTTTCCTGTGAGGGAAAAGCTGAATATCCAGTCTTCAGCATCACACGACCTTTCAGAAATCCTTCTAATATGCATATTTGGTGCTCAAGAAGCATTTTTTTTATATAATTATCAGTGTTAAAAACAGTTGTGCAGCTTTATTCATTTATTTATTTATTTATTTTAATTTGTGTGAAAAGCGAGACAACTAGGTGGTTCAAGAGAACAGCATTTTTTGGAAATAGACATTTATTGTAATATTATAATAAAAATGAACTGCGGTGTATATTAACTTCTTATCTTTGCATTATGTGACAGTATTTTACTCGCAAAAATTAGCATATTGGAGCACTGCAGTCTGCTAGATATCAGTCATAACGAAAATATGAGTAATAATATGAGCAATATGAGTAATAAAAAATAAGTTTTCAAGTTTTGCAGCCAACTGTGCAGGAGTTCAGTGAAATTTCTTCCGCTGTCTTTATTTTATATTGAGAACACCGAGCTTTAAAGGGGACATCGGATTCCCATTTTCCACAAGCTTGTATAATTCTTTAGAATCTTTATGAAATGTCTGTAACATACTTTGGTTAAAATTCCTCAATGGTCACGTAAAACAACACCCTTTTTACCTTGTCAAAAACAACTCTGTTCACAGCGACCCGTTTCGGTGCATGTCTCTTTATGTTAAATGATAATGAGCTACTGCTCACCCCACCTCTCTCTTCCATTTTTTGTGCATTCGGTGATGCGTTACAATCAAAAACAAAACTAATCCACTCATCCTCAGTGGCTCTGATGTCAGGAGAAAATGAAGACTCTTATGTTCACTGTCTTTTACATCCAGCTACAAAACACCTGCATTGCTTACAAGACATTGTTGTCACTACAGCTGCATGAGCACAGAGAAAATGGGGATTAAAAAAAAAAAGAAGTGAAAGAATTTTTATCATTGTATGGTGGTTGTGTCCACACACTGCTAAGACATATTTATATGCAAACACCATGTAAAAGGGAATTTTGCATCCAATGTCCCCTTTAAAGCACCTCTTGAAAGCTGCAAAATGAATTCTGGGTACTATATTGCAGGTGTATACCGTGGGCCGCAGTGGAACACCCCTGCTAATGTGGGCAACATGTGGAAACCATGGAGACAACTGGCATTATGCTAATGTGATCTTATCAAATGCATCACCCTTCAGAGTGATCGTTCAGGCAGAAGTGGGAGCAGACCAGTGGACTGACATTGCTGTGGATGACATCTCTTTCTCTAGACAATGTCTTGTTGGAGGTACAGAATCACTGATTGCTTCTGATTCATTTCTCTTCCTGAACTGAAACTGGGTTTACCATTTCGTTTCTGTGTATGTGCAGGTCCAGTGACCCCCATCCCACAAACATGCCACAAGGAGCACTTCCAGTGTTTGTATCTGTTTGAGTGTATACCACTGAGTTGGCACTGTGATGGTGAGGAGGACTGTCTGGACAGCTCAGATGAGGAGATGTGTGCGAGTGTGGTACCTGGCACTATGCCTCCTCAGATAGGGTGTGAGACGGGAGAATACCGCTGCATGAACAACAGCTGTATTCCAGCGCTGCTGCTCTGCGATACGGTTTTAGACTGCCCAGATGGAGAAGATGAATATGGATGCCGTAAAACCCAAGCACAAATCTGTTTAATATACATTGTAGTACATCATAGCTGTAAAACAAACAGATGAAATTCTCTGTCTCCATCTCTGCAGCTGTTAAGATATGTGATGATGGAGAACTAGTGTGTGAGGCGACAGCAGACTGTGTAGCGTATCAGAGTCGATGTGACAATATTGTTGACTGCCCACCTTTTGACTCTGATGAGTCCAGCTGCTATGGTAAAATGAACACATTCATTCATCTCACTTTCTTATTTAAAGGGGTCATATCATTCTTGTATTTTTTTGTTTATTATTTAATTATTGTTTATTATATTCATTTTCTGCACTCAGTTACTCTCTCCCCTAAAAATGTTGGTGATTGTGTGTTTGCAAGTGTTTAAATGTATTAATCTGGCTGTATCAGAAAGTTGTGGAAAATTTAAAGATCAAGGACAAGTTTAAAGGGATAGTTTGCCCAAAAATTTACTCACCCTCAAGCCATCCTAGGTGTATATGAGTTTCTTCTGGCATGCCACTCTCTTGTGATAGACACCTTTTAACTTGTATCTCCCTTTCTTATATAACTTAATAGTTTTTTTAACAGCTGATAATTTGACTTGCAAGTGAAATTAATAATTCGTATTAGCAATTTAAGGCTTGGCAACAAATACAAACAACCAATCGTGGTAAGTATACACTACCATTCAAAAGTATGGGGTGAACATTACAGTAAAAACGGTAATGTCATGAAATATTACAACTTAAAATACAACTAAATTAATTTTAATTTATTTTAAATAATAATTTATTCCTGTAATATGCTGATTTTGTGCTCAAGATTTCTTATTATCAATGTTAAAAAACAGTTGTGCTTTACTGTCACTTTTTATCAATTGAATGCGTCAATTGTTGGAAAAAATAAAGGACAAAAATCATAATGACTGTTCATCAGACAATGTGAGAGAGGATGAGAAGAAAGGAATAGACAAAGACAAGATCAGTTTGTACTTCTCTGACTTAATTTCCTAAATGAAAGTTTAAATTTATAGCTTAAAAATGTATGAACAGCATAAAGCACGTCAAATTAAAGTGACTTTTTTTGGAGTTACATAATATATTACTTCACATTACGTGGGTGCTTTCTTCAGGGAACTATCCCTGCAATCTTCAGATTAAAGGAGCTGTGGCCCAGGAGTACTGTAGGGGTGAAGTGCCTCGGTCAAGAACACATCATTAATGGAGACTCTCTTGTTAAGGGTTGCCCCTGACTGAGTTGGAACCTGCACCCTTTAGCTGCAAGCCCATAACTTTAACCACTATGAAAGTAGCGCTTAATCTATGTTAATTAATGGTGTGAAATGAGGTCCTTATCGCATTTTATCATTCAGTTATTATGATGATGTTACCATAAGTCATTATTATATGTGGATGTGCTTTATTTTTCAGAGTGTCCCATTGGGTACTGTCTCAATGGAGGGAGGTGTGCAGTAAAGGAAAACGGACCAGTATGCATGTGAGTTTCTCAAGCACAATAGTACACACAAAATATTAATAATCAAATACTGACTCTTTTTAAAATAGAGTATTCATCTGTATAACAGAAGCCATCCATTTAAAGCAACTAGTTAAAGAGGCTTTATCTTACTGTTCACTTCTCTTGTACTCATGCCTATTAACATAATATTGTAATGTATTATAGCTGCTAATACAGATTAATGCACAGTATTTTTGTTATTATGGAGGACAAAAGTATTATGATTTTTGTTTGGATACAGAAGGTGTTTGTTAAAAGTCTTACCTAAAAGTCTGACCTAAAACCTCCTTTCAGTTTTACCTGGGTAAAAAAATCCCCACCTTCACCTGTCGGTCATGGTCAGGCAGGTGACAAGACCCTGTTGGAGAGCATTGAATTATTCATGCTATCCTACAGTGCCAACCGAATATCACATTGAAATGTGAGCGAGTTACACAAAGAGTATCAATACCCTGACTCTCAGTTAAAGCATGTACTTTTCAGCAGACTGCCAAAGCAGGCTTTCTGTAATTATTGTTCCGCTTGTGCCAAGAAACACAATCTTTCTCTGTTTGAATTAACCCCCCCAAACCCTCAAATGTTTTCTCTCTCCTTGTCTTTCTCTTTGAAATGGTGTATGTCATTGCTAATAAATTACGAGAATTACTTAAAGGGGTCATATGATGCTACATGCACTTTTGCAAGCCGATCTCAGATGCCTGTCTGTGTGGCGTCACACAGACAGGCCCCTAGCACGATAGTTTGATTGACAGTAGCATTTCAGCACAGACTGGACTGGTGTCTTACCTTAGACCCACCCTGAGTGGAGATATATACTATTGCCTGAGTGAGCTGTCATCAGTCCGCCATTGTTTCACTGCCGGAGCAGATGTAGACAAGAATGACTCCTAAGCGATTGAGGTGTTCTGTTGTTGGATGTAATAATGAACATAGCAGTCGTCATTTACTCCCGACATCTGAGCCGCTGAAGTGGATTATGTCTGTTTTTGAAGAGAATGCGCCCTCAATCCACATAAATGTGTCTATGTTCGCACGAATCATTCGTGATCCAGCTTCACCCACAGAAGAAGTGAGTGTACGTTTTTTTTAATAAATCTTTGCATATCGCCTTTCCTAATAATGTGCTTATTAGCAAGTTTCACGATGAATGCGGCTAAAGTAAACAGTCTCTCTGAGAGCAGCTCGGAAGAAAGGGGCGGGGTCAGCAGAGCTCATTAACATTTAAAGGAAAATGCTACAAAACTGCATGCTCTGAAAAGAGCTGTTTTTGACAGGGTAAAAAAGGTGTTTTTTACACTACCATTGAGACATTTTAACCAAACTATGTTACAGACTTTTCATTAAGACCCTAAAGAATCATATCAACTTGTGGAAAATGGGCATGAGGTTGATTGCAGACTAGCTTAAGGACATTCTTTATGTGAAAAGATCTTCCCCACATGCAAGAAAAGGAAAAGAAAACATAAGGAGAAAGTAAGAGAAAGGGAGAATGCGTGTCTTTTTCTCATTACAGAAGCACAGGGAAGGCTGTTGCTGATATTATGCTCATGTGGATGTCTCCAGGCAAATTTTCATGCACTTATTTATTTATTTATTTTTTGGAAAGTTGAGGAGCCAGCATTCCTTTATGAATTATCTCTGCCATTCAAAGTCAGTGTGTGCGTGTTTCTGCAATAATGATGTTTTTCTCTGGCTTTCTCTAGTTGTCCATCACAGTGGATTGGTATTCGTTGCCATATCAAAGAAAAAACTTTTTTTACAACCGCTTCCACAACACCTGTGATACCAGATAGTAAACTAGGTAATCGGATTGGTGAGTATATGCGCATGCAGTTATTTGAATATAAATATACTATTTTCCATGCAGAGATAAGCAACAAAATATGTGTGTAATTCTCAACTCTGCAGCTGTCAGTGTTGGATTAAGTGTAGCTTTGATCCTGGTGGTCATTGCAACTGGAGTCATTTTGTTCTTGTTATTTCAAAGGAGACATTCACTAAAGTAAGTCTATTCACATTCAAATTAACTCTACATATTCGGAAAGTGTCTATAAAATGTACGGGTATTGACTGCATTGTTCTTGACTGAACAGAGACTCCAGTCTTATTGATAATGAAGAGTTGGATTGCTCAACCTTTGACTCTCAGAAAAAGGTCCGTCATATGCCTCAATATATAAATGCCATGATCAAATAAGTTGATTTTTCTGACAGCTCACATTATGCAGTTGCATGTTTGTTTTTAATAGAGACCTCCATTTTTCCTTTTCCATGATTTTCATGTTGAATCTCTCTAATACACTCCCACTCTATTTCTGTTTTTCCCTCCCCACTTACTGCCTTTTTTCCACTTTGGAGCGAACAGTGTTATTCAGTAATTTGAACCACTCTGCAGGTGTGAGAGAGAGCTCTGTCACACTGCTGATAGGAAATATTGAACCGCAAGCTTAAGTTTGTGCGTTTGTGTTGGTGTGAGCATGTGTACATTTAGCGCTCAGTTCTAAACTCGCTGTATTTTGTATGCAGCACACAGTAATTTTCACTCTCCTGTGCAGTAAGGGGTAGTTTTTAGAGAAGTCTGGCATATTTTAATGGCTAACTGAGATTTCTCCATATTTTACTGTTATGCATTCATGTGAGTGAGCTAATTCAAAAATGTAATGCAGTAGGAACCCTAGTGTTTTGAAAACAATAGGGTATATGTCGAACATCACCTGACCAAACCCGGAAAACAGGTCTCATTGCTTCCGCTTGTCGGAGAACGTGTTAACAGCCGTATTAAATAATAGCGATATCTATGGACTTTTAATATAATCAGTTAAACTAGCTAGCTGTTTTTATTGTTGACGTTTTATTCAATTTTTATATCTAAATGTGAAAAGAATAAAAATAAAAAAAACTTTTAGATATCAGTCCGCATATGTGATGGACATTGGTTATGATCATCATTGGTATCTACTTTGAAGGCATCTTGAGTAAAACTGCTTCATATTTAACGAAGCATATGCAAAACGCTTGAACCGGAGGTGACAAGACCCGGTTAACAGAATACGGAAGTCTGTTGCGCATAACCCCTATTACTGATTTTCATAATTATTTGAATTTTCAGAAATCAGAAAGAATCAGAAAGAGCTTTATTGCCACGCGCTGTCCGGGATGGCGTCATTCAGCCAGGTTTCCGTGAAACACAGAGCAGCAGAGTGTGAAAAATCCTTATTTGTCCGGGAGAGCAGAGGAAGTTCGTCCGTTTTGTTGGGTAGAGAGCGGAGATTCGCCATATGGATGCTGGGCAACGGCGTTCTGAATCCGCGCTTACTGAGCTTCACGAGCGCGCCGGCTCGCTTCCCCCGTCTGCGCTTCCTGAAGCGCTTGATCAGCGCAGCAGCTCCGCCGACTACAACGTTCAGCAAAACGTCCGAATAAACGAAATCTGGTAGAAGATTGTGTGGCGTGTTCTGCCGAATGTTCAGCAGCTCATCCCTGGTAAAACTGATCGTGTTTGAGAAACAAAAAAACAGGAAAAACTAACAAAAACAATACAAACACTGGAGAGCCAAACACTGAGGCTGCCGTCTGCGGCGCCATCGCTGTAAGAACCCACTGTAATTTTTTAATTCTAGTCACTTATTATGCTAATGTAATTTTCTTGTGAACTTTGGAAAGATTATATATTAAAGCATTATTATTATTATTGTTGTTGTTCCCATAGCTGTCATTTTATTAAACAAGATTACTGTGTAATTCTTATTTCAGCTGCCCTCTCTTGAGGTTAGACCCAGGTGGCCAGTACATCCTCGACTAAACATCAGCGTTTACCCGTGGAGAGAGGATCCAAAGGTATGAAGCTCAGCTTGTCATAATTAACATAGTGATTATTCAGTTCCACCCCAAACACACGTTTAGTTTTAAAAGACATACCGGTGATGTACAATGAAATCTGTGGACTGTTTTATTGCTCTGTACTCATTTTTACTGCCTGCAGTTATAGTTTTGATATGCAATGATTTGACCGAGGCTTGGGACCAGAGGACCTAAGTAATACTTTAATCTTCTGCTTAAGCAATGCATTAAAAAATGTACCAGAGGAGAGAAGGCAACCAACAAATCATAATGGAAGAAATGTCCGTCATAATGTCTCATCATAATGATCCCGTGCTGAAGAATTGCTCTTTATAAATGGATAGAGTCAGTGGTTTTCATTTGTTCATCTGGGCCTGTCTTTGCTTGTGTGTGCTATTCAGGTCTCCAGCTCAAAGGAAAACAAGCTCTCTTTCTCCAACCCACTCTACAAGTGCTCAAACAGTCCTGAAGCTTGAAGAAAACACACACGCAAACACTGGCTGTCACGTCCCTATAGATTTAGAGTGTTTTCCACTTCATTTGAGCCTCCCTGATAACATGGCTGTACTTGCTTAAGGTTTAGAGGGCTTTTTTTTTTAAACACAAACTCGTGGGAGGAAAAATTGAGACCACAAACAAGTTCCAATTAAGCAAAATGAAGCAGTTAAACTATATCTGTCATAAAAAAGAAAGTTTCTTATAATAATCTGACATGTAACACATTCCTTATGTTGTGAAATCTCTCTGAGGCACTGAAATTAAACTTCAATCTTTCTTATTACAAGAGCTAACACTTAGCCCCTCATGTTATGCTGAAAGATGCCTGTATGTTCAACAGCTCAATTAATAGTATCTGATATAATCCTAGTGAATGTTCATGTTCAGTTTTAAGACTTTTTAACATTTCTTCCTATGATTTAGAAGGCATTTTTTAAACATTGTTTTATTTTTTATTGTTTCATTGAAGATGCCAAACGGTGTCTTTCATAAAAATAAAGGTAAATGTAAGAAAATCAAAGCTTTATTAAATTAAATTTAAAATTTAAGATGACCACAATGTAACATTAATCTGGGAAGGTTTATCAAATCCAGTATGGACTCTGGGTGCCATTTTAGAGATTGTTTTGTTTTCATAGCCTGTTCTCCTTCCAGATCTCTGTGGGTTTGAGAATATTGTATTTTCATTACTTTAAATGTGTGTTCAATCACCACTTGGTCTCCTTTTGGATTCAAGCAGACCACATTTTGACAGATGATAAAATTGAAAACTGTAATGATACCAAAACATAAACAAAGACAAGTGAAGTAGTTAACTGTGCAGTGGCAGTGTTTAAGTGAAAATGAAAAATGTTCTTGGTTCCAGAACACTGTAACAAAAGCGGTACATGTACAATGATGAACTCTGGGGAAATATGGAATGTCTCAGTATTACAAATTGTCAGGTTGTGGTGTTTGTAATCCTGCATTGTTTGTCCTTTTGTTTCTGGCTCTCTTTTATCAGAAGTCAAAACAAATGCTGTGATGATTTGTCATAGCTCACAAATTAACTACAAAGCATTAAATGAAACAAGATGATTTGATAAGAGTGTACGAATATAGATGAATTATTAAGGAAATGTGTCATTGTTCAGACTGTAACACTGTGTGACACTGGTCAAAGATGTTTTAGAATTACATATTCATTAAAAACATACAAATTGGATTTTTGAAATGTGCTCCACATTACATGATTATCAATAAGCCAACACATTGTGTTTTTCTCTGAATATCTCTGAATCAGGCTCACACAAAGATCTGAATTCAAACTTTAAATGCAAAGGCAAACTTTATTTGCATCATGTTGGATTGAGTCAGTAATCTCTTCATGAAGTATTCATATATATTGTTCAAACACAATGATTATAGCCTTGAAAAAAAAGTGTTATTCCAAACAAATAATGTTTAACAGAATTATGTTCTTAGTTTGAGTTATGTATTGCATTTTTATTAAATCTACAGAAGCACAGATTCATTTTTTACATTGCACTCAATTTATTCTCTCACTCACTCTCTTTTGATATCATCTGTTTTGATTCTCACACGAACAATTCTAATTAACACATGCAGTGGCTTCCTATTGTGTTTATTAATACAGCATGTTTGAAGACTTTTACACTTACATATTTAGTTTACACTTACTTGAGGACTTTAAAGAGAGTTATAGATAACATATTGGCAACTGGCTTACACTTAAATACATTACCTTGCAAACCCCTATCAGAGGAACACTGTCATAAACATGAGCACAATAAATCAAGGCCCTCAGATCCAAAACCAAGATTTTCGGGCAGCGTTTCTACGTATTTTGGCTCTTGATGCAACATTGTAAGGGTGTTTAAATTGGAATGCTAATGTGTAGGCTTTAGCATGCTTCATCCTTAAATGTTTTTGCTAGGCTGCTTGTCCTGATCTAAAGGAGCAGCGGGAGGTGGTTAGTGCTCAACCACAGCTCACTGCCTCTCAGTGCTCTAGAGGGACTCTGCCTGGCAGATAGTGTGGAAAAGCCTGCCAGTGCCATTCCCAAACATTAATGTTCACACCCTCCATTGCCTGTCTTGCCTCTGGGCTCTCAGGAGGAGACAACAGAAGCAATCTTTATAGAATTTAATGTACTAACATCAAGGACAATTAGTACAGAGAGCGATTCGACATTCTGATCCATAATTCTCATGCATACAAGATGTAACTTAGTAAAAGTCTAAATTATGTGAATCACTGGTTCTTAAAACATGGGTCAAAACTGACTTGAAAACCAGTATATTCAGTTTTGTATTTATTTATTCATTTGGGGAAAAAAAAAAAACAGATTTCAGTTTTGTGGTCTGTTTGGCCCTGTTTTTATATATTTATTATATATTACATATGAATATTATCTAGCTTCATTTTTTCCCCCAACATGTTCAGAGGTCTCAAATATTTATTAGAAAAAAAATGACAAATGTGAGATGTTACATTTACTGTATACTGTACATTTGGTCTGATTTAATTACATAATTATGGATTATAATGACTTGTACTGCCTTTTTACGCGTTGCATCGCGCCGCGTAAACATAAAACCATGTCTGCATTTGTGATCGGAGAAATGACAAACAACAAGCCCTACTCTACACTGCCCAAAAAACTCGCTTTAAATATATAAAATATAAAAACTCTTTAAATATAAAAAACGTACTTACAGTCTTTGAGTCAGAACAGCCGGCATTGTAGTCTACTCTCCCAGGAAACAGTCCTCCATAAAATGTGCTGCACACATCTGAATATTTGGGTTGAACTGTTCTGGAACAGTGTTGTAAATACAACTTAACCACTGATTTCTAGTCGTGTCCATTTTTGGAAGACCAAACAAAGTAGTTTCACAACAAAACACAGTGTCAACCACAGCGGCCTTGAGTGAGCAGAGGCCGGGGGATAAAGTGAGGAACGGC